AATATTGGAAAAAGTTATCTGAACATTGTCCATCATTACTGCTTCGTTATATTTTAAGATTTCACTCGGTAACTAACTTTTAATTGCATTTTTGTATTTATTTATATTTAATGATTTTACCCTATATAAAAATAAATTTATCTGTTATAAGTTGTTAGAGTGACAAAAACACAAAGTTAAGCATACTTTATAAATTTATTAAACTATAAAGAGAATATTATTTAAAAACTAAATGCGTGGATGAGAGTCAACATAGTTAGTTCTGAAAAAGTTAGTTAAACCAGTATTTTATATACTTATGGTTCACTACAAATAGTAAAGTAATTCAATAGTTTATTTACTTTGAAAGTATCATTTATTTAAAATCTAACGCAAAATTGCCTACACATTTAAAAAAATAAAACTTATACTATGTAAATTCTCCCAACCAAAAGGTAATCAAATTACCTTCTTAGTATATTTAGTGTCTAGATAATAGATTCATTGGATCTTAGCTTGTCACATTAAATAAAATCTTTTAGTTCTGGGATTCCTATCCAAAAATATGTTTAACTAAATTTTCAAATCCTATTTCATTTTTAATATCTTGTTTTGAGTTTCTTTTGACATTCATAAATAAATTAGAATATTTATGCTCAAGAATTTTTAAAATTTTTTGAGTATCTACGTTTTTTTAAAAAAAATTTTGCTTACAATAAAATGTCACAGTACAATTAATGCCGTATATATGGTGTTATCTATAAAAAACTTCCAATATTAGTATAATTAAAATAAGAAAAACACTCACATATATAAGTATAAACATTTATACACTGACAAATGTGTAAATGTGTTGACATATTTAAACTGCTAACAATTAAACATAATTTTCTGATAAATCAATACTTGTTCAGCTATTTAAATTTTTATTTTGAATTTTAAAATTAAAAATTTAAATTTAAAATTTCAAATCAATGTGGTGGTCTCATATTTACTGTTTTTAATTTAAAAATAAGTTCATATGAAACTTTAGTAAAAGAAGTATAATGATTTGCTACTTATTTTATTTTGGAAAATGGCAGGCCGAGGGAAATGGAAGAATGTCAAGGTAAGTTACCTTCAAATACGTAACTAATTAAAATAGGCAGCAATGTACAACATTTTTAGCCTAAAAATATTTTTATTATATTAGAAAAAATGTATTTATATATTCCAAATGCTTTCTTAATACCAAAACAAAGTCATAAATTTTGCGAATATATCAATAATTTGAATAATAAATGCTCGGTTATAAAATAAAAACATAAATACGTATAGTTTTAAAAAAGATATGTAGTGTAGGCTCTTATTTTTTTAACTCAGCCAAATTGGTTTATATTAGACCCTCCCTCAACATCACGGAAATCAGCATTTTTTGACAAAAAAATTGACATTTACAAATACAAAAATGAGTCTTAAAGAAGGTCTATAATTGTCAAAAAATGACCAATATGTTTTAAAACCTATTTTCTATATATTTGAACCAAATTTAACGAGATACGAATTTTTATTTTAAAAATTCTATCGTTCCGAGGCACCCTAATATATATATTTGCAAAAAGAATTCTTGGTACGCAAAAAAAGTTGATAGCGTGTTTCATTGTCATAACTTTTAGAACAGTGAAACAGAACAACTGCTACACTTTTTTTTATTGCTAATAAACTACCAATGTTCTATCTGATTGTTTTGTTATAGTCATTTTGCAATGTGTTAACTAGTATTTTCTGTCAAACTTTCTCCTCCTAGTTTTTTACCATTACCTAAAATTTCTTCGCTGCATTTTTCAAGTTTCTTAAACGCGTGCCAACTTGTTTTTAAATATGACTAATGCACTCTTTTTTTTTAATTTTGATATTATGTCTATAAGGTTTAGCAACACCAGCACTAGTATATGAAATATTATCTCCGTCATCACGATATATGGTATACCTTAAATTGTTTTTATTTTATAAACAATGAAAAAGTTTTAAAACACAATTTATTTCCATTTCCAATGATAACCCAGTATATAAAATTTTAAACATTTGGTAATATGATTACTGGAACTTTTCATTTTCAACTGTGTGCCTGTATTTTTATAACTTCCATATTGAACATAATTTAATTGTTTTTGTTTCTATTTAACGATGTCCAATGATGATCCAGTATGACTAATTTTAAACTTTTGGTAATGTGATTACTGAAACTTTTTATTTGTAACTCAATGGGTGTATTTTTATAACTTCCATATTCAACATATTTTAATTGCTTTTGTTTCTATTAAAAAGTCAATATATTTACCATTTTCAACTGATATTGCAGAAACAACTCTGTTATTCGAAGTAAAACCACGCTTTTACCATGAACCATCAAAGCTACATGTTATATATTTTGATTTTTAACCTGCAGGGTTAAAAATCAAAATATATAACATGTAGCTTTGATGGTTGATGATTAGTTCATAAGCAGCATTTTTCATGTTTTGGACAACTAAATTTTGATAAACATCTAACAGGTTATGTAAAGCTTTTTGTAGATTTTTTTGTGGATAGGTGGCTTCACTTTCAGTATTCCTCAAATTTTTTTCTTGTGACCATAACCCTACATCCATTTCAAAAGCTAGAATAACACGTGTGGTAATATCAAATGGTTATACATACACTACATTTGCTTTTACTAGGCTCTTGTTGTTCGATTAAATTTTATACAAAATGAGCATATGAAAAAAACTCATTTTTCAAATTGCAACTAATACAACATGTTTTTAAACTAATACTTGAAGCATACTTTTTGAAGAATCAAACAATAAATAAACATTATCTATACACAGGTTTGGGTATATCAGTAGCGATATAAAGTTTTCCAGCAGACTAAATTTCAATACAGAGTTAAAATCTGTTCTTTGAAAATCTTAAAAATCTCTACTCTACTAGCAGTATTTTATTATTTTGAAGAAGCAGAATGTATAGCAGATTCAAAAACAGTAAATTTTCTTTTCTAATAAACAAGTCTTTGTGTATTTGTATGCGCAAAAATTTGCTTTTTTTAAATCTATATTCTGTTTGTCAATTGTTTTCTCTTTTATCCACCAATATTATTTTTATTTTAAAAAAATAAAAGAGATGTAATAGTAAAAAAAAAAAAAAAGTTTAAATGCAGCTTAAAACAAAAAATAAATTACGCCAAGAAAAGCATTACACTAAACTAGTTATCAAGAAGTTGTCGCAGTCTACAAATTTGCTCTTAAAAAAGTCGAATAGTTCTTTATGGCTTTTTATATAGTTTAACTTGGTTTTGAAGTGCATCACAATAAAATAAATAAAGCTTTGCTAGAGAAAAAAATAAAAAAATTTTTATACCGATACATTTTAAACAAGTTTTAAAGTGAAATTTTTTTTTATTTAATTAAATCAAATAAAAATTCGAATATATATATATATACATATATATATATATATATATATATATATATATATATATATATATATATGAATATATATATATATATATATATATATATATATATATATATATATATATATATATATATATATATATATATATATATATATATATATATATATATATATATATATATATATATATATATATATATATATATATATATATATGTATATATATATATATATATATATATATATAATATAATATAATATAATATAATATAATATAATATAATATAATATATACAATAATAACATAATTTAACAGCCGTTAAATGTAAAATTTTGAAAATAGAATAAAAAGTTCCTAAATAAGTTTGGTATCAAAAGTTCAAAATTTTGTCTATTTTATTTTTGAACGTATTTTTATTAGCAGAATCAATTGCATCTTGTGACAATAAATTCCAATCGTCGACCAATGTATTTGTTAATTATAATACCTGGATGATTTTTTAGTATATTGTCGATGAAGTCTTTTATTATGACGATATCTGGACATGTTGTTATAAAATTCTAAAGGCTCTTTAAACCTTATATATTCAGTTGAATTTAATGTTTTGAACATTTCTATTAAATTGCCTCTTCTTCTCCTTTCTTGTAAGGATGGTAAATCTAATATTTTTTCCTTTCTTCATGGCAGATGCCTTTCGGTGATTCAATCCTAGTCAATCTACGCGGTACCTTTTCGAGTCTCTTAATGTCTTTAATACAATATGGGCTCCATGCAGATGCTGCATATTCAAGCTGTGGACTAATAGTTGACTTGTATAACAGCTTCAAAATGATAACATCAAGATATTTAAATCCATGTTTTAAAAAACCCAGTGTTCTATTTGCCTTATTTACTACACTGATAATATGATATTCCCATTTGAGGTCATTTGATAATATTACACCTAAATCTCTTTCACCTTCTTTTTTTTGAAGAATATGATTTTCTAATTTATAACTAAACTGAGGATTCAAATTACCAATGTGCATTTTTTTACACTTTTCTCCATTGAATTTACTCGACCACTTATTTGACCAGTCTATTAACTTATTTAAATCTTCTTGAAGAGCACTGCTGTTACTTACATTATTAATTACTGACATTAATTTTGTATAGTTTGCTAATAATTCTAATTTATTTAGTATGTTAACTTTTAAGTCATTAATGAATATTATAAACAGAAGTGGACCGAGGACTGAACCCTGGGGTACTCCACTTGTGACTTCTTGCCAATCTGAAACAAACTCACCCAGAACAACTCGTTGTTTTCTATTACTGAGAAATGATTTACACCATTGTAAAACATAAGAGTGAAAACCATAACCATAAAGCTTGCAGCATAATTTCGATAAAGAAATGGAATCAAAGGCTTTTGCAAAGTCGAAAAATATTTTATCAATATCATTACAAGCTTCTATTTTACTTGTTATAAAATCTAAAGTCTCTAATAAATTAAAACAACAATTTTTACATTTAACAAATCCGTGATGTTCGCTTGCTATTAACTTATTTAAAGCTATATGGTTCATCATAACATTGTGAATAATTTTCTCCATAACATTGCATACTATTGATGTTATTGATATTGGTCGATAGTTTAAAGGATCTAACTTA